GAACATTATTTAATATATATTTTAATATTTATATATTTTATTATTTACACATTATTCTTCAACTGGTGACATACTGACTTTGCTAGAACCTAAGGAGATTACAATTTGCTGAATGATCATGAATTCTCTTTTTATTTACACATGATTTCACATTATTTTAGACAAAGCATAAAAGATATAAGCACATCCTAGAAATGTAGCCTGCTACTCTGCTGTTTACTGTCAACATCTGACAAAACTAAACTACATGGGTGATTGTAATATCATGCCATTAAGCAGTACCCTCCTAACATGAATTGTATGCAACTGTATTGTCTCCCTCTATCTTATGCACAAACTGTTGGCGCTATAAAAATTCTGCATAATAATTATAGTAAAATACCCATTTAGTTTAACATTAGTGCAAGTCTATTTGATGGATTTTTACAAAATGATCACTATTGCTTTCCTTGTTATATAAATCTTTTAGCAATATCTTTCCGCTATCAGAGGTCTATGGCAAGGTTTCAAAACGAAATCTGGGGACAACCTACTGACCACGCCCACCCATAAAACATGATACTACACAACAAATAATGTGGCGCACAGCTATCTCAAATTGTGTCAACAGTGAGAGCGGATGAAGTTGCATGGTTAAATAAACCCTGAGCCTACTCTACTAGATCAAGCATGTGTAATGCACAGACTGCAGGGATCAGGAGTATGTAACACATGGACACTAGGGGTCAAGAGTGCGTAATGCAGGAAGTGCAGGCATCAGGAGTGTGTAACGCAGAACACAAGGCTCAAAAGTGCATGGAGCCCAGAGCAGGAATTAGCAGTATATAACATATAGAATGAGGGATAAGGAGTAGGTAACACATGGATTATATGGGTCATCAGTATAGGTAACGCATGGAGTACATGAGTAGGGGCAGTAGCAAGTAATGCAGAGTTCTGAGCTCAGTAGTAAGTAATGCAGGGCCCTAGAAGCAGCAATCACAGCATGTACATTCACAGCAACATCAGTACAGTTATTTAACATTTGATCTCCAAAATGTTCACTATAGGGTATGGTTTTCAGTTGCCCTTCACAGTACTGTATGTGAATATCATCTATACAAGATGGCACAGACACACAATTGCCCTTCACAGTACTGCATGTGAATATCATCTATACAAGATGGCACAGACACACAATATATATATGTGTCCTGGAGATGCATAATGAAACGGGCTTACTTGATTAATGGGGGGGGCGGCCCCTTCTTCGGGACGCAGAAGCGATCTGTCGACAGGTAAGTCGCCAGGATCGCTTCTGTTGTAAAGCCGACAGTCGGCTCTACAAGTTTAAAACAGAGTCCCGGCGGCAAAAGTCACCGGGAGTCTGTTGAAACAGCCCCGATGCTGGCGACGTACACTGTACGTAGTCAGTCACGAAGGGGTTAAAAAGTCACATTGCCTCCATGTATGACAAAGCTTCATCAGGAGATATATTTGCCCATAGTCATTCGGCCAGTCTGAGGAGGTATAATGCCACCCACTGTCTAGTTGCCTCCAGTGAGTCATATACCCGTACCTTATGACATCGACATATTTCATCCTTTCTCAGACTGTCAGGACATTCTTATGGGTGGGACAGGATATAAACATTTATTGAGGTGATTTTGTTGTCATTTTTAATCTAGAGGCAGAGCCAGCTGTGCCCGCCCCCTCCCCGTCTGTTCCGCCAATCAGCGCTGGAGGATAGGACACGGGGGGTGAATCCCTGCAGGGTGCCGTGAGCGACAATCACGGCTCTTTGCAGGGACAGGATTGAGCAGTGAGCGAGCGATGGTATGTGTTCGCTCACTTCCCGATCTATTGAGCCGACCTGTGACAGTTTCATTGTCACAGGTCGGCTAGAACTATGAGGCTGAGTGATTTTCACTCGCCTCATAGTTCTCCTTTAAATGCCTAATGTACCAGAATCCCTTACTCGCCCCTCAAGCGGCCTTCTCCATGACACTCCAAGTTATGGGTGGGTGCTCGCCATCCTCATGTACAAGGCGAGGTTATTGGTCTCACATTGTACTTGATGATGATTGCATGGGACCGCCGTCCGAAGGCATGCTCCTGCCTATAATAATAATGATGATAATGAAGGTTCTTCCTCCTGACAGTTACAGAAGAAGGACCTGTGGGAAGACAGCTGAAAAGGAAGTGTTAGAGTGAGGCACTCTTCTTTTACAGCGTATGACACATAACAAAATAGTCAAAATGTACTGTTAAGGTAATACAACAAAGAAAACAACAACATTTACGGACAAAATGTACATATACAGGTGAAACTCGATTAGAATATCGTGTTGTTGCATTAGTGAAATAAATTAACTTTTGCACAATATTCTAATTATTCGAGTTTCACCTGTAGTCATCTCTGTCAGTCAATAGTGGGACGGCGCCCACCATCGGCCAACTTTACAATAGTAAATGTACTCCTGTGACCCAAAAAAGAAGTATAGCCAAAAAAAAAGGTTGGGTTTTGTTTCTCTTATAAACATTGCTGAAGGAATAGTTATCCTTAGGCAGATCTCCCAGGAGTGGTGGCTAAAAGTTAGCTCTTTGGTCGAGTAGAGACTGGGTGTGCACTAAAACACAAAAAAGTGCAAATTTAATTTTAGTCAGACTCTTGTATCGTAAAAATCCAATGTGTTTTGCCGGGAAAGGGGGACCCTTTGAACCTCTGAAATGTGTTGGATTTTTTATGATACAAGAGTCTGAATAAAATCAGATCGGGCCTTTATAGGTTCTGCTTTGGATCTTTCCTCCTTGTGCACTCAGCCCCTTCACAGTACAGCATACTCGCCTCACCTTATTCACCCCCCAGAAAGGTGAATAGGGGGAAAGGGGTGGCGGGTAAATAAGAGGACCTCCCCCCGTCCAATCACAGAATGCCTTGTATTCTGTAAATGTAATACAAGACATTTTGTTACTGGACAATGGGAGAGGAAGGGACGGCTACACAACACAATCCTTGCATTGTACTATAGTCTGAAATGTCAGTTGTAGCACCAGAAGAGGAACGCTGTGTGCAGTATCTGGCTTTAATCAAGGTATGGTTTTCATAGTAACCATCTGCACCCATTATACTCTTTGAGAGGAAAGTGTATACTGTGCTAGGAAAATGTCAAGACAGATAATACCTTTAAATGCTTGAGTACATTACAGCTGCAAGCTTTCCAGACCGCTCAAGGATTGGCGCACTTCTACAAACCAATTCGCCCTCTTAGAATCCTTAGAGAGGTTTTTTGATGAGCTGATCACTTTAAAGTTTATCTAACCCTTTCTGGCTTTATCCAATGGGGACAGAGTGGTGAGGGGGTTAGAACCCCTGTCAGGTTTCTACTGTGCCATATATGTCCAATCTAGAGATCCCCGCTCTGTTTGGCCTGATGACCATTGTCATTAGGACTGAAAATGATGCCTAATTTAAAACAGGAGGACAGCAATGAATGGGATCTCTTCCAATAATAAAGAATGTCACCAGCACACCAAGGATCTTTATTCAATAACACCTTTATTGACGTTCAGTGTCAAGCAGACAACTATGTTTTGGGACCACGCAGAGTCCCTTCATCACCCATAGTATACCAGGTCATCTTATGATCGATGAAGGGACTCTGCGTGGTCCCGAAACGCTGCTATCTGCTTGACACTGTTTAAACTCTAACAGTGGCATTATTGGATGAAGATCCTTGGTGTGCTGGTGACATACCTAACTTTTTTGATTTATGCGGGCCATCTGTAGTCACTGCAACACCCGCCAAATCAAGGGTACATTGGTCAATGTGTGTGGTGGGATATGTACAACTTTTCCAATGGTGACAAATGCTGAATTTTGTCCACTTTTTAATGTGCCGGCCACAAATCGCAGTGTGGGGCTGTCAGCTCCCTTTCAGCCAGCATTCCTCGATCAGCTGATCGAAGAAGCCGGCTGGAAAACTTTCGTACGATCAGAGCCGGCAGCCAATGAGCTGCCGGCTGTGATCGGGTATTCGGACAGGTGCAAGCGGCAAACAGCGGAGATTCTTCGATAGACACGCCGTTTGTGTTGATGGCGGAAACGTGTCAATTTTTTCTGAACGGAAAAAAAATTGATAGGTGTATGGCCAGCCTCAGACTACATTCACACCTACGCTTTAGGTGTGGTTTGGTATTCCTTCATCAGGAACTTGTGATTTCCTGCAGCAGGGATCCCAAATCTGCTGTTTACAAAGTGGCAACTGTCACCCATTCAAGTTCATGATCGAGTGACAGTGGGCCCATCTAAAAGTGGCAGAACCCTGGCATACGGCATGAAATCGTATGCGATACAGTTACATGCAGTTAGAAAGAGATCACTAACCCTAGACACACGACCGATGTGTCCGGGACAGTAATGTATTCCTAACCGCATGTAATGGTCAGTTCCTGACGCAGGAATACCAAATCACGCCAAAAGTGTAGGTGCGAATGAAGACTAAGAGAGCATTTCACTTACCTTAGAGTATAGATACTGTTGTGTATATAGGACAGAAAGTAAAAGCAGTTCTCCCCACTGAGACACAGACTGCAAGGCGGAGTCTGTCCGGGTCCAGAAAACAAAAAGACAACGGAAAAGAGTTCCATTTTCACGAACATGAATGTGACAGATCGGAGGTAGAAGGATGTAAATGAAAGCACGTCTGTCTATATCCGCCTGCCCATGGACCTGACATGATGAAGGAAAAAACTGCACAGACACAACATTGACTTCTGATCCATACTGTTCCCATGAACAGGGGATTTGTGAATGGGTCTGATCGGAACGGACACCACCAAAGGGATCTGAACCATTTCCTTCTCTATCCTAAACAAAAACAATCACTCCGGCTTTTGGGTTACAGAGGCGTCACCATTCCATAAGATGATACAAAGACCACAGATCTTACAATGTAGCAAACACGTACCGAGAAACAATGCCAAAGATAAACATTTCCAGGAATACATCTTAGAACAGGGCTGTACAATGCTCGGGAGCCATAGGGACAACATGACTGAAACACGACAACCGCCATCTAACGTTTTTCCATCTCCTTCTATTGATGTCACTTATTGCCCAGCTCAATAGAAGTCTTTACATAAAAGCCAGATCACCATCTGATTGTACAATCTCTTTTATACTTCCAAGCAAACATGCAATGAGAGGATCTACATTGACTGGATAGAAGAGGGATTGTTTACATATACCACTTCAGTGCATAGTTGTTGTTGGTAAATCTCAGGCTGACCATACACTGTACAATCTGCTTTAGAGCTTGTTAACGCTCGCCACACGTGTTACAATCTGATTGTACAATCTCCTTAAGATCTACCAACAAGTGTGTAGTACAATGACCTACCTTATTGTATACAGAATGATTGGATGGATTAGGTAGGTCCTCATATTTCAGAGTTTTGGTAGATCTAAAATTGATTGTACAAAGATTGTACGGCCAGATTGTAACATGGGTGTTGACCCGAACACTAGGTCAGTTGAGCTGCGATTTCCTGCAAAGCACCGCATGTTTGATGTAAACAGGGCACATAGAAAACAACTGAACAAGCCCTTACATCTTCCTTCAGTTATGTAGTGCAAGGGCCTGTCTGGTTTGATACTGAACGGATTGTTCTTCTAAAGGAGAGTATACAGAGATTGTATAGTGTATGTCCAGCTTAAAAGGAGACTACGCAGAGACTGTACAATCAGATTGTATAGTCCAAGACCATCTTAAAAGGTGACTACACAGGCACTGTACAATCAGATTGTATAGTTTTAATTTTTTTAAATATTTAATTTTTATTCTTTATAAACTTTTAAAAAAAATTTTATTCATTTACTTTCAGCAAAATATATATTGCTGAATACTGCACAAGTTGTTTTGTGTAATAAATTAAAATGTTTCAGAAATTAAATCATTTTTGGGTCACGCCTTAATGACCAAGGAAACATGTGGGTCCCGAGGTTACACAGGTTGAGAACCACTGGTATAGAGCATGACCATCTTGAAGGAGACTATGCAGAGTGTGTACAATCAGATTGTACGGAGTATGACCATCTTAAAAGGAGACTACACAGGCACTGTACAATCAGATTGTATAGAGTATGACCATCTTAAGGAGGCTACACCGGTACTGTACATTTGTATTGTATAGTGTATGACCATCTTAAAGAAGACTACATAGAGACTGTACAATCAGATTGTATAGAGTACAAGCAGACCAAATGAGACTAAAGATTGCACAATCATGTTGTATATGCATGGCTAGCATTGCACCGATTGGCTCCTGGATTGTATATTACTGCCCGAGAACTCAGAAGCCTGCAGTTATGGCAGGTGGGTGCCCAGACAACTCAGCAGAATATTCAGCTCCCCTGATGAGTCCAGCCCCTGTACCCACACCCACAGATGGCTTATGTCTGCCATGATGGTACCATACCTTGAGCACAGGGGTCCAGTACTCGGCTACTTCCAGAGCTTTGCCCTTCACCGTGTTGATGACGCTCTGCATGGCTCTCGTCTCCCCTCACAGGGGTTCTGCACAGAAGATAAACAAGCGGGTTAATGTGCCCAGAGCTGACAGCCATTGTATCCATGACAACCCCTCTCACCTGCCTCGGGAAATTCCTAGGGGAAACCACTACGTTCCGCCTCTCTACCCCACTGCCTGTCACATGGTGGCGCCACGCCCAGAAATAGCCTCTGCGCAGGACTGAAACTAGGGAGGGGGCGTGGTTGTGGGGGATTATGGTGGACACCAGCATTGGAGCCGTACAGTAACGCAAATAGTAATTGTAGCGTCTGCCATAAACTTAAAATTGACACCAATACTAAACAGGCAAAGTATTGTTATATTATAATAATTTGAAGTAAAAGATGTGTACGCGGAAGCGAGGCCTGGAACGCATGACGTCACACACGGAAGTTCCCTTGTGAAGGTGTGCAGGGCTGCCAAGCTAGGTGTACAGTGGGATGTGTGCCAGAAATGCGGTGACGTGTCTCTCCTCTGTGTACCTTACTGATATCAGCCTGGAGGTAAGTTGGGGGATGCTGCTGCTGCTAACCTTGGGCTGAACTAACGTACACTCTTATACTAGGAAGTTGTCCCTTATGAGAAGCATAGCAAACTTTTAATTTCCCATCTGGTATGTATGGAAGCATGGGCAGTAACCCTGTTCCTTTTTTTCTTATATACACAACTGTTCGGTTGTGTCTATAGTCTACTTATACATTATACAGCAGTGGTGGACAACTCTGACTCTCCAGCTGTTTTGGAACTACAAGCCCCATGAGGGACATCAAGACTGCTAGTTAGAGACATTACTCCCAGAGACATGTTGGGATTAGTAGTTAAAGCACAGCTGGAGGACTGCACTTGCCTTCCCCTGTTATACAGAGTGTCCCAAATGTCTGTATAAAGTGCAGCTGCTCCAGGAACTGAATGGTGATGTAACAGATTGGGGTTTGGAACATTGGGATCGGTTCTTGCAGCTGTGGGAATTCTCAGCACTCTCTATTTTAGTACATCAAATAATCAAGGGATTTGAAGAAGAGTGTTGGTGAGACGCATAAGAAAAGTGTCTCCGGGTTACAGGAATAGTGTTCTTTGCGCCAAATTCATGTACAAATCTGCATAGCATCCATGAATTTGGAGCAAACCTATGAGGCTGGCGCTGGCTTCCCAGACACACTTTAGGACAGATGTATGCACACTGCTTTACGTGTTTTATGGTCATCTGCTTATTCAGGAGAAGGCTACAGTGTTTTAAAATAACATATTCCATACAAACCACTTGACAACGTCTTCTGCAGCATGTTTCTTACATTATTACATATGAATGTTCCTTGTGCCCATTTAAAACAAGACTTCCACCAATCCCCAAAAGGTCTAGACTGCGAATGAAACACGAGTGAGAAATTACTTTTCATGCAAGCTTGTGCTTAATAAGAAATACCATGACCATATGTTTGGTTCCAAGGACACACTTGGGCTACTGTATATATAGTTGCATAGTATTTGAGGTTGAATACAGGTCCATCAAGTATATATGTCATTTTAATATGTGCAGTAAGCAATTATCTGAGTAGGTGTGTCATTTTATAATATGTAAATAAAGAATATTGTTTTTAATGGTTGTGTAATTCCAAGGTATCTTAAAAGTCCGCTCAAGTACTTTCTTTTTGGTCTATAATTTGGGATGTGGTACCTACATATATCCATGTCGTAAGCTGGGTGCAAGTCTGCTAGGGTCAAAAATAAAAAAAAGTTATACTCCCCCAATCCTCTGAGCTGGCTTGCTCTTACACCGATCCCTGGAGCCTCTCTCATCCTCTGCTGCAGTGGTCTAAGGCTCCATTCCATATAGCGTTTGCGTTCCCTGCGTGGTTTTCCATGCGGAAGACCCCGTGTGCGCAAACGCTAAAAATCTTTCATCCGCACAGACTACGCTTATTGGCAGCCATTACTATAGCCGTGAACGTGCAGAATCAGTCAAAAAATCGTGCTTGGACTATTTTGCGGGCCGTGCGGCTGCCGCAAAAAGTCTGAACAATGCACATGAAAGTGCTTTGTTTTCTATGTTTCGAGCGGCTGCGCAAATACGCGTGAACAACGGATCCTGTGTGAATGGAGCATACTAGGGATGCACCGATACCACTTTTTTAGGACCGAGTACCGATACTTTTGATCAAGTACTCGCAGATACCAATTACCGATACTTTTTCTTAAAGGGACAGGTCACATTTTTTCTAAAGCAATACAAACTAATGCTTTAAGGTCACTTTCTTAATAATATGATTCATGAGATGACGAGGGAGCATGACGCCGGCTTCCCGGCCAATCAGAATGCTGGGCGCTGCGTCATTCTGAGGGAGCATGACGCTGCTTCCTGGAGCCGTTTCCTGGCCAATCAGGAAACCGGGCAGCGTGTAATGAGGCGCTGCCCGGCTTCCTGATACAGGAAGTACTCGTGCTAGGTATTGGAGCATTTGGGCGAGTACGAGTACTCGCCCAAATACTCTGTATCGGCACCGATACCGAGACTAGTATCGGTGCAACCCTAGAGCCTACGGTCCCTGAGTCATCACATTCTATACACTGTGTATAGGACGTGAAGACACAGAGAGACACACCATCGACAGCTGGCCGGCTCTGATGAGCGGGCAAGTATATCTTTGTTATTTTTGACCCGAAGCAAAAACAAGCACTTAAAGCGACACTAAACTCAAAAATGAAATGCTAAAACTAGCGTCTATCCTATAAATAATAAATGACTGTGTACATTTGTTTGTCATTGTTCAGCTCTAAATGCCCCAAAGTCCATTTTATCTTTCTCCAGCCACAACTTCCTGCTAGAGGGCGGCTACTTCATGGTCCCTATTAGTGATGGGCTCGGGCGTGTTCGCAGCTCCACGTGCCTAGCCCGCCAGGAAGCTGACAGCGCCAATCACAGGCACTGAGACATTTCCCGATCTCTGCAGCTGCGGACCGGGAACATATCTCAGTACCTGTGATTGGTGCTGCTCGGTGTCAGCTTCCTGGCGGGCTAGGCACGTGGAGCTGCGAACACCCCCGAGCCCATCACTAGTCTTTATGTGTGCAGAGAAGTAGCCACCCTCTCACCTCGTTCATGTGAAGGACTACAATCAGACGTGAGAACTATGAAGCTCTCTCACGTCTCCTCTTTAGAATCCTCCCAGTCTCTGCACACATCCTCCCCTCCCAGACTCTCTACTGAGCTCTGATCACTGGGGTGAGCTCAATGTCTTATCATGACTCTTATCTCGCCTGCTTTTTTTCTATACTAAGTTTGTGAAGACATTCGGCATGTAGGCTGCCAGCAGAATCAGACTTTTCTCTGAGTCTGATGGGTACAACTCCTATTTAAATAGCCCATAATAGGGCTATTTAATAGCACTTGTGTGTCACTTAAGAAGAATTTCGTTTTTTTTGTTTGTTTTTAATCTAGTGTTCTGTACTGACTAATGGAGAAACCGATACACCATTACAATTTGTACACTGCTGTATATAATAAGTAATTAGGGCAGTTCACACCATAGTATTGCGCTAAAGGCAAGGTACCCATCTGTTTAGTTCATGCTATTGAACAGTGCAATGCACTGCATGCTAGGTGCACTGCGTTGCCATTCATTCTCAATGGAATCCCAATTCACCTCCCAGCAGACGTGCATCCCACTGTGCTGCAGTGCATGGTACCTCAATAGGGCGCAATTTGGGATATTGCAGTGCATCTTTTTTTTCACTGCATAGTACCACAACATATTCGTTTGCTGTACTGTGCAGTACTGTGTTGGGATGCCATTTAGTTTGAATGGCAAAATGCAGCACACCTAGCATTGTGCAGTGAAATAGTGTGTGCTAAACGTATGGCTACCATGCCTTTAGCGCAACACTGATGTGTACCAGATCTATTTATTAACGTTGTGTTTTTTAAATTTTTTTTTTTTTTGATTGCCGGAGAATGTTTCAGTTCTGATAATTAGCTTTCATATGTTTTAAGAATATTGTTTGTTGCATTATTGTTTGTCTCTTTCAACAATACAGGTTGCAGTTGTCACTACATCAGGGCTGTCTCTTGGCAAGCAGCTGTGCCATGTCACTGGTGAAATCTGAGGATTCTGGAATTAAAAAGGTATAAAAAAAGGGTATTTATTCCTCACTAATCTAGTTCTAAGCAATTATTTTGTGCAGCTCAAACAGATGGCTGCGTTCTCCAGAAATCTCCGTAGGAGACTGCTTGCAGTCCGTGGATTTATTTCTGAAAAAAGAAGGAAGGGGAGAGATTGTTTACAAATGACCTTTTTCAGGTAACAGAATACCAATTCAGCCACTATATTTATTCCTATGGTGGGGGGGGGGGCGCCGCACCGCCGACCCCCCTGGTTATTACGCCACTGGCTGAATGCAGCCTGCAAAGCCCCCCACAGATCCTGCACAGCCCCCCTGAGATCCGGCAGACTGCAGGATCTGTGGGGTGCTTTATAGGATCCGTAGGGGTCTCTGCAGCCTGCAAAGCCCACCACAGATCCTGCACAGCCCCCCTGAGATCCGGCAGACTGCAGAGTCACAGGGGGTCTCTGCGGGATCTGTGGGGGGCTTTACAGTATCCATAGGAGTCTCTGCAGCCTGCAAAGCCCCTCACAGATCCTGCATAACCCCCCTGAGATCCGGCAGACTGCAAGGCCTCTGCAGGATCCTACCACAAAGTGGTAGGCCACGTAAAATGACAGAGCGGGGTCAGCGCATGCTGAAGTGTACAGTGCGCAGAAGTCGCCAACTGTCTGCAGAGTCAATAGCTACAGACCTCCAAACTTCATATGGCCCTCAGAAAGGCACAACAACAGTGCGTAGAGAGCTTCATGGAATGGATTTCCATGGCCGAGCAACAGCATCCAAACCTTACATCACCAAATGCAATGCAAAGCGTGGGATACAGTGGTGTAAAGCACGCCGCCACTGGACTCTAGAGAAGTGGAGACGTGTTCTCTGGAGTGATGAATAACGCTTCTCTGTCTGGCAATCCGATGGACGTGTCTGGGTTTGGCGGGTGCCAGGAGAACGGTACTTGCCTGACTGCATTGTGCCAAGTGTAAAGTTTGGTGGAGGGGGGATTATGGTGTGGGGTTGTTTTTCAGGGGTTGGGCTTGGCCCCTTAGTTCCCGTATAGGGAACTCTTAAGG